GGGCTAAATTCCTTGATTATGCGTGCTAAAATCCTTGATTATGCGATTAAACATGCAGGGTTTTATGTGATTTTATGCGGTGAAATTGCGGGAAGTTAGGAAATATGCGAAAAGTTGCGAAATATGCTAAATATGCGGGGGAAAAGAATAACAATTTTTTTAAATATTGGGCTGTCTTATTTATTCTCTCTCACACACAACCTGCCACTAACGTTAAACCCCTTTCCTATACAATTAAACACATTCAATGTTTATTTATTGTAAAAGCAATTGGGCTATTTTAATCTCACACACACACACACCCACACACCCCCACACACACACACACACACACACACACACACACACACACACTTCTCCGCCTCATTCTGTTTTTATTTACTCGTTCGTTATCTGCAGCTTCAATCTTGTAGGCTACTCACTTCGTTTCTTGTAGCCCTCCAAAGGGTTTTGGAGGATGATGCCTCGGGGAACGTGAGTTGTTTTGGCTTTCTTGTCCGCAGCAGCAGAAAGCATTTTCGAATGTTTGAATGAATCAAAGTGGGTCGTCACCGTCGACTTTCTCTTATGCTCCAACACACAGTTGCACGGGGTGCAGAATAGTTTCCCCCCACTTTCGTGAAAGACATCGGGGTACTGCTTTGCCCGGTCTTTAGCAGAAATGTTCGTCGCGTCATCATCATCATCATCACTACTACTTTGTGTGAAAAATGCGGGGATTATGCGCCGTTTTGAAAATCTGCGCCATTTTGCTGATTATGCGGTAAATTATGCGATCCCATAATCGAGTTTTCCTGGAGGGTCTATACTGTACTGTGTTTTATTGTATTGTGTCCCGTGTCCTCCAGAGTCTGCAGGCAGCGCGGGAAGTTCATCAGTTTAATCACGACGTGGACGAGCTGAAGGGCTGGATGGCGGAGAAAGAGGCGGTGCTGGAGGCGGAGGATCAGGAGCACGACCTGCACTCCATCCAGACTCTGCTGAGGCAGCACGAGGCGCTGGAGGTGAGAAAGATTTTTCTGTTGATGTTTACATAAAGTACCAACTTTTCTGATTAGTTTTGGGAAAGTTTGATGTGTCCTTCACATTATGCTGCATCGGTAAGAGATGAATATTGCTTTTAGAGCCATAAATACGTGTGTGTTTTTTATAGTTATATTTGGTTTGACCATTGGTGGAATATTTATTGGAATAACATTTGACTTTAGTACAACAACACACTGGTGTAGAAATACTCAGTAAAAAGTCAATGTTTTGCACTCAAATTGCATCTGAAGTAAAAGTACTAAAGTATTTGCAATGACACATACCAAAGGCAAGTACAAATTATACAGAAAGCCTTTTTTCAAATAGTATATTATTACATTTGAGTTAGTAAAGATTTAGTTTAATTTTATATACTGCTGGAAATGTCCCGATGAGGATTAATGCAGTTTTTCTTATACATCCATTTTGTATCTGTAGAGTTCAATAAATGTACTTCAGCAAAAAGAACAATATTTGCATCTGAAATGAACCGTAAGAAAAGTTTGAACTAGCAGAAAATGGAAAACGCTGTTACCAGATTTGTGTAATAGTTTGTCTAGCTGTACTGTAAGTACGATTATAAATCTTGTTGGTGTATTTTTTACTCTTAACGACATCAGTTAACCTGGTTGTTGTTGTTGTTGTTGTTTGTGCCATCAGAGGGACCTGGCTTTGATCTCAGAGGAGGTGAAGAAGAGTGAAGACGAAGGTCGAGCTCTGAGCCGCCGGCAGCCTCCGGTCCGATCCGCGGTGACTCAGAGGCTGGAGGAACTGGAGGTTTTCTGGAGAAACGTCCAGGAGAAAGCCTCCCAACGCAGAGCCAGGCTGGGCCAGGCCGAAGACGTTCAGAAATACTTATCCCTCTGCAGCGAGCTCATGTAGGTCCATTCAAAATGAAAGTTGTTAGCTCATGTAGGTCCATTTAAAATGAAAGTTGTTAGCTCATGTAGGTCCATTTAAAATGAAAGTTGTTAGCTCATGTAGGTCCATTTAAAATGAAAGTTGTTAGCTCATGTACGTCCATTAAAAATGAAAGTTGTTAGCTCATGTAGGTCCATTTAAAATGAAAGTTGTTAGCTCGTATGTACCCGAGTTCCCATCAACAAAAACACGTGGGTTTGCTATCCTGGCTCCAAAATGGTGGAATGAGCTCCCCATTGAAATCAGGACAGCAGAAAGCTTACACATCTTCTTCAGACTGAAAACTCATCTCTTTAGACTCCACTTCGAGCGATAGAATTACTAA